AAAAAAAAAAAAAAAAAAAAAAAAAAAAAAAAAGAGGGGGGGGGGGGGGGTTTTCCAAAAAATCTCTCCTTAGACGGAGAGAGAGTCTCTCCTTTTGATTTTTCAAAATGAGAGTTCCCTCCTTTCAAGGAGTGAAATTTTCCGTAAAAGAAGAGTGTTCTCTCCAAACTCTCCATGAGATGGAGTCTCACAGAGAGATCTAATCCAATGGGGGAAAGTTTTTTTCTTAATTATTTACTTTTTAATTTGTTTGGTTGATATTATAGAGAATTTTTTTATTTAAAATTTTTTCAATATTAATTTGTTCTATTTAAAAAAATTTCTATTGGTGGAGGTAGAAATTATTGCTTTTTCGCACAAAGCTGGACGGTTCATTTTTGTCATATGCATTTTCACTGGTTTGAAATGGGTTTGGTCAAAATGTTTTGATATTTTTAATTATATTATCCCTCCTTATCTTATTGTTCATTTTTGTCACATTGCTTTTTACATTAATTTGGTTTGAAATTGATTAGGTCATTTGAATCTGACATACAATACTCTTTTCTCCATTTTTTTCACGCTATCAACTATATACTATAATTTTATTAGTAGTAATATTTTTTTAAATAATATTTTGTCACACTGCAGTTTTTTTTTAAAAAATTGGTGGAGCAGAAATAACGTCGTTTTCTATTTTCCTTCAGCTTACATGCTTTAAATCTAATACACAGTACTCTTTCTTCATTTTCTCACGCTATCAACTATCGATCATATCCTATAATTTTATTAGAAATAATTTTTTTTAAAATAATTTTTTACATAAAAGTTATTTTTTATTTCTTAAATGTAAAAAGTTACATATATAACTAAAAAGATCACTTCAAGTTATTTAAAGGTAAAACGAACTTCTAATTGTAATAGTTACTTATAAGTAAAAAATATTAATTAAATTTTTTTAAATATAAATATTTAGATATATTTAATTTTTTAAATTAAATATTAATAAAAATATTATATTATCTAGAATATAAAAAGTTAATTATAAGTAAAAGAAGCACTTCAAGTTATTTAAAAGTAATGAAAAGACTTATAATTGTAAAAGCTACTTATAGGCAAAAAAATATTAATCCAACATTCTCTTATAATTGCAAAAGTTACTTATAAGTACAAAAATATTAACTTAAAATTTTTAAGTATAAATATTTAGATATATTTAGTTTTTTAAATTAGATATTAATAAAAAGATTACACTATCTAGAATGTAAAAAATTACTTATAAGTAAAAAAATCATTTCAAGTTATTTAAAAGTAATAAGAAATTATAATTATAAAAGCTACTTATAGATTAAAAAAAATATTAACTTCAACATTTTTAAGTAAATATTTAGATGAATTTAATTTTTTAAAATTAAATAATAATAATTACTATAATTAAAAAAAATACATATACGTGCACAGAATGTTAAATATTTACTTAAAAATGTTAAAGTTAATATTTTTTTTTTATCTATAAGTAGCTTTTACAATTATAATTTTTTTTTTTACATTTAAATAATTTGAAGTGATTTTTTTACTTATAAGTAAATTTTTATATTTTAGATAGTGTAATCTTTTTATTAATATTTAATTAAAAAATTAATATTTCCTTAAAAATCCATGCACATAGTGAATATTCAATCTGTGCATAGAGTAAAAAATAAATAAATTATGTTTTGAAATTTTTTTCTTATCTATTTATTTTGTAATTTGTTTTACTGATATTATAGATAATTTTTTCTATTTAATTTTTTTTATAAATTCTTTTCTCTTTATTTATGATTGAACTTAATTTTTTTCAATTATTTTTATCTCACCGTGAAAGGAAAATTTTTTTTCTATTTAAAATTTTTTCATAGTTAAAATTTTTTCAATTTTTTTTCAATTGGTGAAGGTGGGAATTATTGTTTTTTTTTTTTTGACACAAAGTTTGACTATTCATTTTTGTCACATGTGTTTTCATATTCAATTGGTTTGAAATGAATTTGGTCAAAGTGTTTTGGTTTTTTATTGTATTATAAAAATATATAAAGTAATCTACCATCTATCACTTTTTCAAGTCACTCATTCTCCCTCCTTCAATTCAATTGATTAGCTTTCATGTACGAAAAAAACTCTCCAAATTCTTGTTTTTTTCTGTGGGAGAAAAACATCATGCAGTTCTCATCTCAATCGTAGAGAAGAAAATCGTAGAATTTGTGACGATTGTCTTTGGGTATGTTCTTGCAAATTTATTATTATTATTTTTTTGTATTTCTGTTTTTTAGTTTTTTAAAATTTATTTAAGATATGTAGTTTTTATTTCTGTGTATAGATGAAAATCTAGCTTGGCTCATCTTCCTCTACCTAGATGCGAGGTATGTTCTTGTTTCTGTATATACATGAAAATTTAATTGGAGTTTTTCTTAGATATAACTATGAAATTTAGTGATGGGAAAAAACCTGCCCCGATGGGTTGGCGGGGTGGGGGTGTCCCGCCTTGAACTCGCCCCATGAAAAAAAAAAGTATTATTATTATTATTATTATTTTAAATTTTTAAAATATCAAGTTATATTATTATTAGATAATAAAATACAAATGTAAAATTTTATTAATTACAAAAGAAATAAAATTTAGTCAAAACGTAATTTCAATTGAAATTGTTTTATTTTTAACATTGTTTATTTCAAGTGTTTACTTTGAATTTTAAAATTTTGAATTTATATTTTATTCTCTAATAATAACATAATTTGAAATTTAAAAAAAAATAAAAAAATAAAAGGGGTGACAAATGAGGCGTAGCCCCGCCCCGCCCCGCCCCGTTTGAGGTGGGGTGGGTAGCAGGGCGTGGTGGGGCGGGGCAATCCCCCCACTGCCATCCCTAATGAAGTTTATGTTTTTATTTGGTGTTTGCTTTCCTGTGGATTTATTTCTTATTTTCGGCTTTATTTGATGTAATATATGTTTTTTTTTTCCTTTAAGTGTGTAAAAGTTAGCTAGGTTTTCTTTCTTTACCCTTGTATACTTGAGAAATTTAAATTTCTCGATCATTATTTTTTATATTTAATGAAGCTTACAAGAGTTTGCTTTGGGTATGTTTGGAGTATTTTTGGCCCAATTAGTAGTGTTTACAGTTCTGGTGTCGTTTGCATTTGTAAAGAAAATTGTTGATTTATTCAGTAGTTCAAAGATGTATGTATCACCCATTCGTAGTTCTTTTAAGGAGAAAAAATGTGCCCCAGCATATAAAGAGAAAAGAATTAAGAAGAAAAGAAATTTATAATATGAATAAAACAAATGTAAAAAAAAAAATTATGTAATTAAGCAAAAAAATTAAATAAATTAACATTACAAAAATAAAACAAAGAATATATTAATATTATTTGATTAAAATTGAAAAAAATAAATTTTATCATAAAGAGAAAAGAATTAATAAGAATTTTAAATCCAAAAAAAATTATAATGTAAACAAAATAAATTTAAATAAAAAATAAGGAAAAAAAATACTCTTCGTGGACGAAGAGAATCTCTCCATCCACGGAAAGATTGTCTCTTCTTTTGAAAGGAGTATTTCAATGGATGAAAATTTATTTTATTTATCTATTTAATTTTTAAATTTTTTGTTTATATTATAGATAATTTTTTTTCTATTTAAATTTTTTAAAATTCTTTTCTCATTGAACTTAAATTTTTTAATTACTGTTTTTCTCCCCTTCAAAAGACAATTTTTTTTTTCATCTAAAATTTGTTCAATATAAATTTTATCAATGTAAAATTATTTCAATTTTTCTACTATGAAAATTATTGATTAATTTATTTTTAAAATTTTTTTGTTCGTATTATAGATAATTTTTTTCTACTTAAATTTTTTTTTTAGATTCTTTTCTCTTTAGATTGAAGTTAATTTTTTCAATTACTGTTTTCTCTCCTTCAAAGGAGAAATTTTCTTCTATTCAAAATTTTTTCAATGTAAATTTGTTTGATCTAAAATTATTTAAATTTTTTTCTGCTGGTGGAAAATACTGCTTTTCTTTGCACAAAGTTGAATTGTTCATTTTTGTTATTACTATATTGAATAATTCAATTTCAAAATTAATATTACAAATAGCTTACCTCAAATGATTATTTTTATAACTAATTGAATCGCTACTTCTTTAAATACTAAACTCATATCAACATTAAAAACATTAATATGACATTCAAAATAATCCTACTCGTGCATTGCACGGGTGATAGACTAGTTTTTAAACAAATGTGTATTAAAGTTTTTGTTTAATTGGACATGAGAAAATAACTAATTTAATAGAAGATTCTTGAGATTATGAAATTAAATTGTAATTGTTTCTGTTAGGTTTTCATTGCATCGACAATTCTTTATACAAAAGACTAAGGTAAAAAGTTGTAAAAGTCAATGAGTACGTTATAATATTGTATAGATGAATTAAGTAAGTTAGGATTCGAGTTTGGAATGAAGAAGAAAGTGCCACAGGATTTACGCTAGTCTATCACCCATCTGATACTCAAGGGCAAAAACAGAAACTCTGTAGCCTGTCTGTTGCTCGCCTGTCGCTGAGCTCTCACTCGAGCGACTATGTTACTCGTGAAACCCTTATTCACGTTTTTTAAGAGTTTTATTCGACTCATACTACATAATTATCTTCTACTTTATGTACCAAACCCCTAACACGAATTTTTGTGTAGTTGATCATTATACTCTTCATTCATAACATCTTTTTGAGAGAAAAACAAACCAATCTTCATCTTGTACATCTTGAGATTCATCAACCACAATTTACGAAAAATATTAAAATCACATAATTCAAAACACCCACTTCTTATACACATACAGAAATGTACTTCTTAAAAACTTTTAGATGTTGTTGAAGAATTGAGGAATGTTGGATCAGAAGCATAGGAAGAGTACAAGAATGAGGTGTTCTTGATGATCCATAGGAGATAAACAATTCCAGAAAATCGAGAACAATGAAGCACGTTCCAATGAGTCTTGGAGATTGTAGGAAGAAGATAAGCAAGTCTAGCGGGATTTCCTAGGCTGGATCGTACTGTAAATCCATCATTGTCTATAGTAGAGGTTAGTGGCTTGGTCTCGAAATTTTTACCTAGTTGGATTTCTTCTTCAACAATTCTTGCGTTATTTATTGCTTTATTGATATTTGTGACAATTCAACTTAGGATGATTGGATTTGTTTGATTAACCATCTAGAACAATTAATAAGTGATTTGTTGCTGCTAATTGATAATTTAATTCTACAGTTTTCACCTAATCATCCTCTCTAGGTGATTTTAGAATCGAACTTGTAACTTTCAATTTCATATAAAAAAGATTTGATAATATATTTGTTTCTGTTCATATATGGACATAGGCAAGAGTATAAAATTAGATACAATGATGGGAGTGTCACAATTAAAGAAATCGTAATCTCTTATGGGGAATATTAGGATCATATTAATTGATTAATTAAACAAGCAGACATGTAGGACCTGTTCGGAAATCAATTAAGATATAAATATTTTTAATTAATAACAATTTTGAGTTACAGTCATGCTTTTCCGCTAACTGGTCCTCAATATTAAACAATGACACTTGTTAATTAACCCAACAAAAAAAAAATAATAATAATAATAAATTGATACTATTATTATAAACATGTTCAGCTGTCCAATTCGATGCTCTTTATCATAAGAAGGTAGATAAGGATCATGCTACATTCACACAACCATTTACACAATGGTTTTGCACACTCGACACTCGGCCGCCCCCTATTGGAGGGGCGGCTGGTCTCCAATAGGGGACGGCCAAGTGTGGAGTGTGTAAAAAATTGTTTAAATGATTGTGTTCAAATAGTTTTATCCGGTAGATAATCAAACTCTACAAGCACCTTCAAAAAGCCACGCAACTCATTGTTAGGTCCTAAAGCAAAACGGAGATTAATTATTTCCTCAAGTAGGTAAAAAAGAAAAGAAACTTTAATGAAGGATTATTCAAAGGTTTTCAGATGTAAACGTGGGGTTAATAACTAATAAAAAAAGTAATTAAGAGGGAATATCCAATTTGAGTTGGTTTTGGTGTCAGGTTCCTGGATTGATAAAAGCGATCTGAAGGTGTTCAATCATGTCCATTACGATCCCGCAGAATTCACTCTCCATCTGCATACAATATATTCAAACCAAATTTTGTATAAGAACAAAAGACGATATTATATATTACTATGGAAAATATTACAATATTATGAAGAATATTGATATATTTACATAATTTAAATGCCCCACACAAAGTCAGAATGATGTTGAGTTTGGAAATAGAATCATATGTAATATAGTCCCAAATTGCTCTTAAAATCTTTGGTGGTGATATTTGCAACTTGATCAAATAACAAAATAAGTATTAAACCTAATCTCTCGTCAAATTTTTCATTTTTTTAAAAACTCATTTTCAACATTTCATTCCCACAATAAAATACTTTGTACGTATATTCAAAACATTTCCTATTTTTTTTAACCATAAATCCTCTTAAAAATCATTATTCTAAAACTCTTTTTTTTTTTTAATTTTTTTTAATGGCTATCAAACAGAGACTGAGTAAATTAAGTTAATAGATAAATATAGCATCGATTAAATACCAAAATATAAATCAAGACATGGAGCTTTGAACTACCATAAAGTTCAAACAAAAGAAATTCAATTCAATTAAGATTTAAACGAGCACATGAATGTTTCAAGATTGGAGTTTACAAATGAGTCATCATCTTGAGGGGATATCTTAAGAGATAAATCTCACATTAAATATAACTACAATATTAATAATCAATATATAAGGATTTTGGTTACTTCTCTTATTAAGATTGAAAATTTTCAAAATGAGATGAAATCCAAACTCTTAATAAATAAATGTCATGTTTGGTATTTTTAGAACCCCCCACCCCACTCCAAAAAAAAGTAATAAATAAAATAAAACAAGTTGTGATACTGTATTCAAGATAGACTTTTAAAGACTTTTATTAAATTCAAAAGATTTTAGCCCCTGGTTAAAAATCAAAATTTTCGATATTTTTAGATAACAGTTGATGAATCAAGAAATGTGTAATTGAAAACGAATCTAATTTTTTTTTTTTTTTTAATATGGGACCGACTGAGGGGTGAAATTCTGAAAAAGTATATCAAGGTTACTTAATATTGAATCAAAACTATTTAAAATTCTAAGAATGTAAAATCAAGGTTATTCATGGCAATGACTTCTAATATATTTTATTACTAATTTTAATCTGCAAGTATATGCTCTTGTTTAGTATGGATTAAAATTTAAAATTTTATTTTAAATTAAAATCAACAATTAATTTTAACCACAATAGATTTGACCCAATGTCAAAGAAGCCAAAGTTCAAGATAGACAAGTGAAGGATCCAGAATGACTTCATTGGATTTAACAACTTTTCAACCGTACATTTCAACAACTTTTATCAAAATTTACAAAAATTCGAAATTTAATCTTCACAAGGGCTAAATATAAAACATCATAGTTTTTCTTCCATTCACTCCCACTTTGGAAGAGTTTTAAAATTGTGATTTTTTCTCTTAAATATTTCCCTTTTACTTCTTCCGAATCCTAGAATTATAATTAATTACCCATTTTATAAAAAATAATTACTCTCTCTCTCTCTCTCTCTCTCTCTCTCTCTCTC